GGGGGTGTATGGGGGTTAAGGAGGGGTCGTTGGCTGCGAGGGGCACGCGCGATGGGGTGTCCGCGGGTGAAGGCGGGCCGTCTTTGTTTTGGTCCTTCGGGAGTGCATTCGCGCGCGTCGACCGAACGTGGAAGGGCCTTTTCGCGGCTTCAGGAGCTTCATAATGACACGCCTGGACAGGCATGGCGGTAGCACATGTCGCCGTCGTCGTTCCATTTTCCCGCCACGAGGACGCGACGTCGTGGACGGTCCTGCTGCTGCTATCATTCCAGTGCTGCACATCCGGAGCCGCATAAATGTCGTCCGCACGAGGGTGAGTCCACAACGCTTCTCCACGGGCCAGCTACACACTTCCTGCCGCGCATCTGCAGTACCATAACGCTTCTCGTCGGGGATAATTGTGTCCTCCTCCACGCTTCCTTGTCCGCATCTTGGTCGATGACCGCCGCCGTCACCCGCGCAGACATCTCGTGACGTGGACGCCGGGCGTCACAACGCAGGCAGCGGGCCGCTCCTCACCTTCATCGCTTCCGCTCGTCTGGCAATAAATCTTCTCGCCGCGGCGCGCTTCCAGGTTCATGGTTGTTCTTCTGCCGCAGTCGTCGTCGTCGGACGTCATTCTTCTCACCGCGGAGCACTCCCGCCATCGCGAAGGACAGGTGTCGCCAGGGACGTTATTCTTCCGTGCTGCGCATGCGCGTCATCGTCTTCCTGCACCGGAGGACTCATCTTGAGCGTCGTCGGGATAGTAGTTCTCGCCAAGGTGACAAGAGACGGGTGACATCTTTTTCGACGAAACAGCACACGTCAGCCGAGCGCTCCACCGAGATCGCCTGTGGAGGTCCCCAGCAAGCATGTCTGCGCGATTGAACGACCGTGGCAAGAAGCACGACGTCGCGCTTGACGAAACCCAAGCCCAGGGGAAAGGTCGGCGACACGTCCCAAAGGCGAAGAGGCTTTGTTCGGAAGATGCGTCTGCAAACGTGCCGCCTCGTGGAGGGCGAGGTTGGGCGCAGGCCGCGGAAGAGTACAACGACGATGATTTCACGACGGAGGACGATCAAGGCGAGGCGACGGCGTCTGCAGGTCGGGAGAGTGTTAGGCAGCGTACTTCCGATCAGAGCGCTTCGAAGAGGATGTCAACCCCTCCGCCGGAGGCGCAGCAGCTACGTGTCCGCGAAACATGGAAAGAGAAGGGTGCTGTGGTGGACCTTGGCGGCGATGACGACGAGCCTTTGGAGAAATGTCGCCTGCGCATTGCGACACAAGCGACCGCAGCGGCGGTGTCGACGGCTCGCGCTGCGGCGGATGAAAGGCCAATCACAGGTGCACTCCCCAGCACGCCGTCTCAGCCCCGTCAGCGCAACGACGGTGGTCACGGTGCGTCTCTCCAACGCGGTGGTAGGGGGGGAGTCGTGGCAGACACACGAGCAGCACGGGGCGAGGCGGCAGGTGGCGCGGGTGTGGGTGTTGCAGGTGTTTTCCCTTCCGTTCCGACGGCGAGAGAGGAGGCTGCAGTTCCGGCAATGGTGAGAGAGGAGGGTCGTGGACAGGACACGAACCAACGGGATGGCGGCGAGGCCGCTTCAAGCCGGGCACGCAAGGGAGTCATGAGGAAAGACCTTATCGACCGTGCGCTGCTTTGGGTGGATGACAAAGCTTTCTGGGTAACGGGTGAAGGATGCAGACTTTACAACATCGTCCATGAAACAAAAGAGTACTTTGTCGCCATCGCCAGCGGCCTTCCGCCACCTGACCTTCCACGGAGCGTTGTCGTCCCCAAATCCAGCACTAGGGTGGCGAGGATCGCGGACCAATCACAGCTCCAGCAAGTGATCTCCCGTATGGTGGCGGTGGAGAATATAGCTCTGCGCATCTTGCACGACTGGGTTTTCAAGTCCGGGAACCGCCCAAGGGGGTACCACCTTGCTTTCTAGTACTCGTTGGAGTCCGTAGCGACGGACATTGGGCGTGCAATGTGGTACGGCGAGGAGTGGTGCAACGTTGTCAGCGCGCCGATCTGCGCCCGTACGATGGATCTGAACATGAACCTTCCACTGTGGTACGTCGGCGTGAATATCGAGGACAGACCTGAGGACGACGACATGGCTGCGCACCAGGAGTCCACCGTCGTGAGCATTGCGTATTCATTCCGTGCGGCGGTGCAAATGGGCACTCACATCGACGACGATTTCATCTCCTATGACCGTCTATGTCGGGTGGCTGACTGCTTCAGGCTGTTGCTGGCGGCGTCCATGTGGATTATGCGCATGGCGGGAGACGATCCACGCTGTCACTACGAAGCATTTTACTTCGCGGATCTCGTCGCCAGGCAGACACTAATCGCGTCCGTGCATCGCTCCTTCGATCATCGACGATCCGTCGTCCGCACCGCGAACGTCGTCACGGAGAGGCTTGGGAAGGCGAAAGCCACGCTCAGAGTGTACCCCGACTACATCCCTGATTGGGCACCATGCGGCATCGGATTTGCGCACGACGCGAGCATCAAGGGGCCGGAGGATGCGAAGAGGCTGGATTGGTTGGGTTCGGGCCCCCCCGATGATGACATCAAAGGCGAAGGAAAAGACGACGCATAAGGCGGGCGGGTTTGCGAGGGAAGACCGGGGAGACTGCGCTTCTAAGAACAAAGGCGCATGTACGTGTGGCGTGACGTGACGGGCTGTCGTGTGATTGGACTGTTGTGCGTGGCGCACCTGTTCAGCGTGTCGGCAGCCGGGATTCGCCAGAATCCTCCTTCATCATTGTGCAGAGGTTTACTGTGGCGCCCGTCGCATAAGCACGGGTTGATCGAGTCCGATTGTGTAATTGTAGTTTCGGTGGTTAGCGTGTTGGCCGGAGGGATTCGCCTGAATCTTCGAAGGTTTCGTAGGTGTGCAGTTTGCAGGTTGTGTAGGTGTGCAGTGTTCTCTTCTTTTTTTTTTTCTCTGGGCGTTCAGCGCACAAAATTGTTTTATCACTGCATGATACTCGTCGTTGTCTCGGACGATTTGAAGCGCCTGGCGGTTAATTGGTGTTTTCCTTTTTACGATGTGTGTGACAACTCTCAGGACTCTGTCATATGTCGGTGGGATGAATGCCGTCATGTCTGTAGTGGGACACAACTGTCGTGCGTGCCATGCAGTGTCCTTGTCTGCGTTTTACTTGTTCTTGTTCTTCGCATTGGCTTCACGACATGCAAGAGACATGCGTTGATCATGGACTCAGAGAATGCAAGTCGGGATTGTACAGAAGCATGTTGCACATGTCATCCCACCACAACAGCACACGAAACCGGTCATGAAAACGGAAATGAAGATATGCACCAAAAACCGATAAAGATAAGCAATAATTTCCACAGACGGATAGCGAGAAAAAAAAAAAAAAAAACATGCTTCCCATCGCACGACACCGTTCATTACAAACGATTTGAAGGCAGGAAAAAAAAAAAAAAAAAACAGAAGTCATAATTACGAGGACACACACAAGCAAAAAAAAAGGTTCTTCCAATGTTAAAACTTCACACAATTGTGCGAACCAGGTAGCCATCAACAGCATGAAAATGATAATGTGAACTCGTCGACGACAACCATGCCGCCATTCCATCGACCCACCAACCGCGCGCACAACAACCATGGACAGGGACCACGTCATAACTCCAGCCGCCTACCAATCAAACCACCCTGTGTGAACCACCCCATGTGCAACCATCCCCCCCCCCCCCCCCCCCCCGACCTCCCGACCGCACGGTCCTACATCAAAGCTAGGCGGTCTCGCAGTGCATCCCTCAACAATTCCCCTTCCGCGTTTGTGCACCGTCCCCGCCCGCGTGCCCCGTTCCCCACAATGCCCAGGTCCACTCTACGCGGAACGCCGTTCGCATCCACCTCCCACAGAAGGTTCTCGTCATAGTCGATCCCCGCGTCCAGGAGGATATTGTGGAGAGTGCAGACAGCCACGAATTGCTGTGGCAAGGTGTCCAGGTTCGACTTGTGGGTGCGCAAGAACAGACACCACATGCACTTGAGTCGGCCGAATGCCCTCTCCACACACCCCCGTGCCACCTTTTGCCGCATGTCGAAGCGCTCCTCGTCAGCATCTTGGTCGATCCCTCCGTACGGCTGCACAATCCACGGACAGGCAACTGGATAACCGTTGTCGCCCAACAGGTAGCCTCGCGTGATGACACCGTGCGGCAGATTCTCCGGAGTCGCGTCGAACAGCTCGCCACTTTCTGCACGCCTAAACAACTGCGAATTGTGCAGGACACGGACGTCGTGCACACTTCCAGGGTATCCCACGTGGACGTCCAGGATCCGCAGATCCAAATCCACAACCACCTGCGCCTGCACGGAGAACTTCTGTTTGCGGTCGTAGTAGTTCTCGGAAGGTGCACCGGCGGGCTTGTCAGTGTAGATGGGTGTACAGTCGATAGCGCCGAAGCAGTTTGGGAAACCCTTCTCACGGAAAGCGCGCAGAATCTGCGCACGTCTCCTGCCCACTGGCCACTTTATCGAGTCGGGGTACGCCTGCAGCAGCGCCGAAGTGACATCGCGAACGGCCTGCAGTGTAGTTGCCCTGCCGATGCCGAATGCTGACGTGCCGCTCTCGTACGTCTCTCCGGACGCCCACCTGTATAACGCGAAACCAATCAGCTGCTCCACTGGCAATGGCATTCAATAGTGTGTCACCTTCTTCTCCATGTACGCGGCGCATGCGGCTACGATCTGGTTGAACATGGCCATCGACATGCGCAGCTTCTGCCGGAAGCACTCATCCGTCGCGTCGTCCCGAAGCCGGAGGTCCTCCCATGTCCCGCCAGTCCGTCGTCTAATCCACCACCGCGGAGTCTGCCGCGGGAAAACGCCAGACGACAGCGCGGCACACAAATGGACGACTGCCTCACACGTCGCCGCGCAATCCGGCGCCTCTACAACGCTCTGCAACAGCGCTCTTCGTTGGCGGAGCCGCATCAACATGTCGCGCGACGAGGACTCCAAGTCGCCCATCGTGTTCACGACGATGGCAGTCACCGCCATCGCCACGGTGTCGATCTCTTCTTCGCAAAGACCGTTTGAGCAGCCGTGACTGTCCATCTCTGGCAATCTTCGCACGGTTTGCCGCGTCACGCCTTCGACAGCCGCCTCAGACACGCCCGCTACGGAACCCTGCCGTCGTCGACAAAGAACACCGGAGTCCAAGATGCGAACACTGCTGTACGATGGCACAGGAGACGAAGACGCGCCCGCTGCTCCACGCGTGTAAAGGACGGTACGCATGCATGAGGCGAACGTGCGGCTCACACGATGATGCGCCCGCTGCTCGCAAGTTGCGTACGCTCGAAAGATGGATTCCGCGCGGCGAACGGCAGGGAGGCGCCGTCTTTTTCACATCACACGCGTCGCCTGGCCGCCCTCCGCCCACCCACCCTGCGTCCGCGAGAATTCGAATTCGTAATTTTGAAGTTCTGGGGAACCGCGCTTTTCACCGATCCGTCGACTCCCGCCCGAGGCCCACCGCATTCTGTACCACGGACACCGCCCAGGAATGGACGGACATCGGCGGCGCGGCTGCGTATACGCGTATGAAAACGGGTCGCGGGAAACCTTTTAGGACGAGTCCTAAAAGATGATTTTTAGGACTGCGTGTAACGACGCCGCACGAAATCCTAAAAAAACTTTTAGGACTCGTCCTAAAAATTTTAGGATTCTTTTAGGAGTGTCTAACGAGACCCTTGTTCCCAAAAAAAAAAAAAAAAAAAAAGCCCACAGGTCGTGGCGCGTTCAAGTGAAACGCCCACGGTCAATGTACGGGCCAAGTACTGGTGACTTTGAAGTCGATGGTGCTGATCGCTTCAGTCGAGTATAGCTCGATCAAAAGCGCGTATTCCGAAAAGCCAAGGCAACGTCGGACGTTATTCCACGTCGGACTATGACAGGTCATTGGGAAAGCGAAGAAAAGAAGAAGAGGTAGAGGACGAAGAGAAAGCAGAGGAGGGAGAGGGGAAGAAGGAGGAGGAGGAGAAGAGGGACGGGAGGAGGGATTTAAGAGCCACGCTTCTTTTTTTCAAGCGGGCATTGGTCCTGGTGAATTACGCAGAGACCCAGAAACCCAGATCAATCGTGATTTTCTACCTCTCTCCATAAACACAGCCATATTCAGCGGTTCGAAACCAATCCTCTTTGCTAGTGGGATCTCGCCCCTGGCCACCGGGGTCTCTCTGCTTCACTATGTTTTGGACCAATTCTCTATTTCCACTTGTGATGCTTGCTGTGTGCCTTGACTATTTCTGTCCCAACCGCCCGGCTGAGCCTGCTCTACTATGCTGTTTTTTTTGTTTTTTTTTTCCCCTTTAAAAGCCAGTTGGTATTGCTATTGGTGGTGATACTAGCCCCCACCGCTAACAGCCCATCTGCTGCTGCACTACTCTCCGTTCACTGAAATAGGAGACTTTTTTCACCGCTGCACTAAATCTCCCATAAAACGCCGGAAAAAAAATCATAAAATTGCGGGTAGCTAGCCGAAACCACCTTCCAAGTGCACTCTCCATGGTAGGAGACTGGCCCGCCTACAAAAGTCGTTTTTTTGATAGACCTCTGACCGATCCACCAATAGGCGGACAAAAGCAGATGACCATCCTCCCTCCCCTGTGGTGGAGAACTATGTGCCTAGCTCCCAAGGCTCCCGTATAACGAGGCTTGTACGCTAGTGCCTCAACTGGGGCTGAATAAGGGAGCTCATTCAGCGTCGGTGCCTGCGTCCGCTGTCTGGTCAGGTTGCTCCAGTAGAGAGTGATGTTCCTCGCATGAGGTAAGATAGAAATGGAGTGGACGTGCGCCAGGAGATATATATCGAGAGGAGTGGTGGGATGGGAGTCTCGTGAGTAAAAAAAAACAAAAAACAAAAACAAAAAAAAAAGTTAAAAAAACGATATAGTGAAGCAACCGCTTTTTGGTAAATTAATCCTCTCATTTTCAGGGTAACCCTCTCAATTGCTATGAGGAAAGGAAGCCATTCCACCTGTCAAGGCCTTCACACTGGAGACTTTGGGTCACCACAGGGGTCCTTTTTTTTTTTTTTTTTTTTTTTTTTTTTTTGGGGTCACTACAGTAGGCGATATCTGGGACTTCCAACGGGGAGCATGGAAAACAGAGACTTACTGAATAGATATGAATGTTTAGCTTTTTTAGCTCATTTGGTACCCCACCTATGAACTGTTGAAATGCAGAAGTAAGCTCGAATCCAGATGAAACTAGTTGATTGAATTTGTGAATTACCTGCAGTGGGGCCGGTCCGTTCTATGATCATGATATCTCACGGCCGTCGCCTTTTTTTTTTCCTTTTTAAATACATAAATCCTTTTTTGTGTTCAACGTATCATTACTTGCGATGTATAACTGGTACTAAATAGGAATTCAAATGTGATCCACTCCTGCCTTCCCACCGTAACGCGGAGGACTGGTGTGTTAGTCCAAAAAGGAATGGATCACATTTGAATTCCAGAATGGATCAGGGTTCTGAGCAATTAGTTTTTTTTTTTTGTTTTTTTTTTACCATTAGGTTTCGGTACACCTTTGTTTTTTTTTTTTTGTTTTTTTTTTTTAAAAGGGCGACCGCCTTGAGATATTATCATTGAGCTGACCGGCCCCAAGCGATTCATTAGTTGTTGGTTTTACTCGTCAAGTTCCATCATCTGGATTCGAACACAGCACCCGGTCTGTATTTCAACAGTTCATGGGTGTACCCACTGAGCTAGCCTTTAAAAAAGATAATAGCATATTCTAGTTAAACCACCAGTACTGGGCCCAGCTATCGGCTCCGGTAAAAAATAGAGTAGAAATGTTTCTAGTCGACGGATGGATTTCGGTGCTCCTGTACTGACCCGTACGTTAGGCCAGACCCGCATTCTTGCAGCTGGTTTTATGAAATGGCAGCTTGGAAATAGACTGGCGGTTTTAATCCAATGGGGCTCGTTAGACACTCCTCGAGCACATAAAATCTAGAAGTATGCTACGTGACACCCGCGACCTAGGCCGCGGGCAATTCGGTGGCCGCGGCCGGAAAAGTCGGTCGTGGCCGCGGCCAGGAGGCCTAGTTTGCGGCCCCATTTTTTGGATTTTTTTGGGGGGGTCAAAAAATACGTGAAAAAAAATAAATGGGGTTCAAGGGTAGGCAAAACCCCACAACCCCATATTTTTTTGTTTTTTAATTTGACTTGATTTACAAATTTTAAGAACTGAAAAACGAAAATCGTTTAGAAAGAAAAAAAAAATAATAATAATAAAAGAAAAGCAGGATGTGAATGTGAATGTGAAAAAGACTGTCCGGCAAACAGCCTCTTCATGAGGATAGCATTCAAAAGCAAACCCAATTAATAATCAATGCATACCACGCACGCAAATGGAGCACACACACTAATGCACCAAACCTACCATCACCTCGAGCCAACGAGATTATCAATAACGCGCAGAACTCGAAATCCCAAGAGCCCCAAACATTTTCAAATCGGAAGTCGGATATGGCAATCCTTCATACATGCTAAAAACAATTGAAATCCGAATGATAGCTTCGTGAGTACAGTATACTCTCCCTCCTCATTCCACAATCTGGCGGCCACTCCCCGACCGGTTTCGACTACCCCGCGAGCAGTCTCATCAGGAGGATTACTCAGCTTACAGCATCAGCAATCAGCTCGATGAAGGAGCAGGAACTTTTTTTTTTCATTTTTTCATGACTGATATGAATTTTTAAATTATTTTTGCGAAGGTAATTTCATTTTTCTTCGTCGTCGTCTTCTTCTTCTTCGCCGTTCTTCTTTGCTGTTTTTTGGTTTTCCTCTTCTTCTTTGCTGTTTTTTTTTTTCCTTTTTCTTCTTCTTTGCTGTTTTTTTTTCTTCTTGTTTTTTTTCTTCTTCCTTCAAGTTGCTGTTTATTTTTTCCATTCTTCTTCTTCTTCTTCTTCTCCTTCTTCTTCTTCTTCTTCTTCTTCTTCTCCTCCTCCTTCTTCTTCTTCTTCGGGCAATTCGGCGGTGGTGGTCAGACACAGACAGAGAGAGAGAGAGAGAGAGAGAGAGAGAGAGAGAGAGAGAGAGAGAGAGAGAGAGAGAGAGAGAGAGAGAGAGAGAGAGAATAGGTAAGTCTCCAATGTGGCGGCTGGCCTCATGGTACCTCCATCGATAGGATGAGCAAGATTGAATGAATCTACTGCTAGAACATGGAAATATACACTGCCACACTTGTTTGTTTGTTTTTTTTTGTATTTGTGTGTCTTTGTG